ATTCAATTAATAAGTGTGTTTATTTGAGGGTTGTAAAGTCGCGCTGTTCGTACTAAAATGCTCTCCCGTCATTGGACTTTTATCAGACTCCAGGTTCTAGTAAGCCTCGACTAAGTAGTTAATGTAATAAGTCGAACCGGTTATTAACTATAATATTTTGTATCATCATCATCATCATTTCAGCCATAGGACGTCCACTGCTGAACATAGGCCTCCCTCAATGCTTTCAACGTTGATCGATTGGTAGCGGCCTGCGTCCAGCGCTTCCCTTCTACCTTTACGATGTCGTCGGTCCACCTTGTAGGTGGACGTCCCACGCTGCGTTTTCCGGTACGCGGCCTCCATTCCAGAACCTTGCCGAACCATCGGCCGGATTAGCAAGCTGAAGTGGCAATGGGCAGGGCACATAGAATATTTTGTATTTTTCAACTAAATAAATAAATCTTGCCTAGTCAGCAATTATGATTTCGTACTCAATAAGCCGCCTATCTTCAAAAACCAGACAATAAATATGAAATATTCGCTAGATAGGCAAGAGATATTGTTTAATTTAAATGCAGTTAAATATGAAATCTATCGATAGTTTTGACAAACTTTTATAAGTGCAAAGAACATCACTACACAACTAAAATAACTTAAGGCAACATTATACATAGTTCTGTTAACACTAGACTGTGTGTTAGCAACACTGTAGTTAAATTTAATAGGTTGGTACATTTTGAAGCTAAATTGGCAGTGTATCTTCATAAGTGTTAATGGGTGTTACGGGGGAGTATAAAGGACGAAGCTCACTTATTAACCCGGAAACGGATCGTAATCCTATCAACTCGAGGTGGTCAGTATTCTTTGTATGAAACTACAATGAACCGTAATGCATCGCACACGACTTACTCGCACCGTTACGTAAACGCCTCGCCTCGCGGTTGACATAGCGGCGAAAGACGATACAGCGTTGATTCCTTTCTGGGTTGATAAGTGTGATATGATCTTATCTGAGATTGGATCATCAAACTGCGCGTTGTTATATGATTATAAGGAATAGATTCATTATAATTTTGTAGTGTGGTGGTGAAATATCTCTAAAATCTAAATTATTACAAAGTTGCTGCGTTTGTGTTTGCGCTTTTTTTCATCACTTTACGGTGATCATTTAGTCTCTTCAACTCTGGTACCTAAATAATAAAGACTCGTGTTCTGTAGGAGCTCTTTATTATTTACTAGAGGCAAATGAAGGATTTGCACTCAGCCAGCCTGATGGATAAGGGCTGATATTCACATAGGTATACCTACCATTGCAACAAGGCTAATCTTACACGATATATCAAACAGAATACGTCAAGCTCTGCTGATGCAGCCTGGTAATAACTTGTAACACCAGCTAATCAAATCCAGCTCTGACACGTTACATGTAGACGCTAGACACGCTCCGTGCCCCTAATTTGATGCAACGGGCGATCGCACGGTGCTGCGTTTGCACTGACCAACAGTCATTTGAGTCTTTTTGGATCCAGTATACATGTTCCCGCAAAACTGAACTGGTCGTGTGACCAAACTAACCTTTGAAATTCGACTCACTCTGATCGGATCGTTTTTATGCGGGATGGTCGTTTAAAAACACTTTCTTGCAAAAAACGAGATGTGCCTACTTCCTTAGGGGACTCGTTCCCTCTGAGACATCCCGTTTATTGCAGGATTCCGTTTAGTAGTATACGTGTTTTCCTATTAAAGTTTACACGATCCTGCATCACTGGATCCCGCAAAACTGGATTGCCGTGGGAATGAGCCCTAACGCATCATTTTAAGATATCATTGTCATTTGGATCCTTACAAACTTTCATATTTAATTTTACAATTATATTAGTAGGATAGGATTGCATCATTTAATACCTAAGACGTCAAGCTCTGCTGATGCAGACTGGTAATAACTTGTAACACCAGCTAATCAAATCCAGCTCTGACACGTTACATGTAGACGCTAGACACGCTCCGTGCCCCTAATTTGATGCAACGGGCGATCGCACGGTGCTACGTTTGCACTGACCAACAGTCATTAAAATGAGAAAGACTTTATTTTATTTTGAGTTCGTTTATTCGTTCTTCTACTGCTGGACAAGGACTTCCCTCAAGGAATTCCACAACGCCTGATCCTGCGCTGCCCGCATTCAGGTAGGTACCTACAATCTAACTTTTTCTTAAGTCATGAATTGGGGGATGGATGCTTGTATTTAAAGATTTATGGAAATGTCTATGCTTGGGAATTCAGAGTAATTGTTGGACAAACAAAAGATCAGGGATTCAAGTCCCATCCGAAACAATCAATATTTTAAAAACTACTCTTCGCCCGCGTGTAATTCAATTTGTCACATGATACACATATTTTATCGACTAAGGCTGAGTTGCACCACGTAACTTTAACGTTAACCGGTGCTTTTTGTATGGAGTTTGACAGATTTTCGACCTTTGTAAAAGTCAAAGTAAGATGGTGCAGCAACCTGGCCTTAATATCGGCATGTTATTCTGATGTATAGACATTTAGGCTAGGTTGCACCATCTTACTTTAACTTTGACACACGTCAAAAACCTTTCAAACTCCATACAAAAAACGCCGGTTAACGTAAAAGTCACGGTCAAAGTTAGGTGGTGCAGCTCAGCCTTAATGTAAATGAAAATCAGTATTTTTTTCCGAGAAAGAGTAACAAACATCAATCTATTCCTCACAAACAAATAATACATACCTAAATAATAGTTTGATTTTGTAAAAATCCTACGTAAACGAGGCACGGACCTAAACCGAAATTCATATGCGGCGGGCGCACATTGTGCCGCGTCGCAGCGTCCCGAATTAATGCGTTATGCCCCAGTTTTTAAGTCTGTCAATGAAAAACGAAAACTAAAAGAGTTTATTCGAAAAAGGAAAGCTCTATTTTTCCGTCATGTCTACATACTGGTTACAGGGATTTTTGAATTTACAACACAATCGTAATGATTCAAAAGCTCGATGACCTTTTAAACAAATATGGATTAATCTGACTTACGCGCTTGCCTCTTCCAAAAATGTAATCTCAGTTAAAAAATGTTTGACATTTTTTTATGAAATAAATTTTTCTTATGATTTGAACAATTGAAATAGGTATCCTACATACTGAGGGTAAATGCCATATTATGTTTTCAGTTCGTTTTAAATAAATGTTGCAGATAGAGAGTTAAAATAACAAAAATACGAATATGCATGGGAATAAATATGTAAATTGTAATATATAAATAGTCAAAACTCGATTGCTCCATTTCTATTGAAACTATGAAACTGTAACGCCTTTGTTAACCAAATCAATTGAATAACTTACTGAGTTCAATGCTACTAAAAATCATATTTTACATCTACCATTACACTTTTGATCCAAAGCACTATTACAACATAAACTGTCAGTATATACAAATTGTTACAATCGCCATTCAAACCCGCGACAGCTGGTCAAACCATTTCATGGACTATCTAAACTTTTGTAACTCGAAATTCTGTATTCTCAATTGTGCATTTCATTCCCATTCCCATTGGATGACCCATATTGCAGCAGAGCGAGATTACTCTTTTTTATCATTTCCGGGATTTTTCCTATGCATTTTAGATGGCGCAGTGTATGCAAGCAGTTTGAGAAAAAAGACATTTTATTATAAAGTTTCGTTCTTTGTGTGGACGTATTTTTGAGAGTGTATTATGAATATGTTAGCTCTTTTGCTTTGCTTTTGAGGTAAATAACAAAATTAAATAGCGATAAAAAGCACGAGTTTTTTTAACTAGACTCTAGCCAAACTCAAATCTAGCGTATAGTAAGGTTAACTTTCTCATTCAAACTGAAGCAATATTCCGAATTTAAGTGGGAGAAGTGAAATATCCAATACCCCAGTAAGATGGGTACAGACTACAATCGTCAGCATTATCAGACAAAGATAGACAAATGTAAAAATAGCAACAGTCGTCGACTTAAGAATGATGTAGCAAAATCTGATTTAGGTACTCGTATTACAACTGCACAGACGCCACAGTGTCTGTATTACGTTGTAGCTTAAACATCTCATGCCTAACCCTTGGTCTGCATTACGTCATAATACATTAAGTGGTCAATTGGTCATACCTAAAAAGTATGTGGAAAAATCTTACAATCACAACTAACATAGAAGCTACAATGTTTATCTTCTCGTGGGTTATAATACTCATAATTATTTGTTCATGCTTAAAAAATATGTAAAAAAATCATACCCATCACAGCATCTAAAGACTCCACAGAGTGTGTAGCTCAAGCTATCCTATGTTTAATATGCGAGCAGTAAGTACGTCATAATAATAATATTATGACAACATATATGCTCGGTGGAACCTAAATTTCACTTACTACTAAGCCACAATGTCTAAATTCTTATGCTATCTGTATTGCGTTGTAACTCAAACTATCTCATGTCTAACTACCCTCGCTCTATCTGTGCAGTACGTCATGTGTGACAACAAATTAATTCGTCAGCCGCCGCTGACGGAAATGCAACGCGGCGAATGCTTGACCGCGCCGAGATAGTGTTGTGCTGCGTTTGAATTGGATGGCTGACTGGATGTTTCTGTAAACGGGACTATTCCCACCTCTCGTTCCCACCGCTGCAACTCCTGTATAGCCAGGATCTACAGCTTGACCGCCAATAAAAACCCAAACAATGAAGGTCAAGTTTGTCCCGGGGGAAAGTTACACTGTCATTGGACCCGCAACGAAATTAATCAAAAGAACATAGGAGGAGTTCGACGTTAAGGTTCGTATGATCAATGTTTCTGTAAAGTCGAACTTAATTGTTTGTAAGAGGTTCCACTAGATTAGTGGGGATAGTTCCTAACGCTGACAGATGCATCTGGCCTAAAAAGACAGACAAAAAAAATAGAACAGCCAAAAATATTCAACATCTACTACTTGTTATAAGTTGTTGTCACACATGACAGGCCATATAACATGCAGCCTCGGAACAATAACTAAAGCATGGAAGCCAGGCTAAAATAGCAACTAAAAACGTATACCTGATGCACTCGCTCTTTACACGATTTTGCGTAGGAGAGAATGAGACCGCAAACTGAACATAGTTCTCATAATTTGCAGGTTGTCACTAGCATTCAGTGGACTCATTACAATTTTATGTCATTGGACTTATTCAGCATACTACCAAATTCAAAATCACGTTTTGACGTTCTATGTTTCAGTTTCACTCAACTTGCTCACTTGGCCGAATTAAAGTACTGATGTGTCACCGTGGTTGTGTTTACGGCTCGTGTTATTAAAAAAAATATTTTCTAAGGAATTTGCGCAAAAGAAAGTGTATGGTCACGGTAATATTATCATACAGTATTGTAACTTCATATAGACGGACGAAACGCGAGCTTTCCTTCGAAATTCAAATCTCGGTATGCGCTCGACATGCAAAAGTCGGGGGTGTCGCGAATGTGCCACAGCAATAAACGGTCGATGTGTTGTTTTTGAAACAGTAAGTGTTTTTTTTTATAAAAATATTTACAAGTACCTATTTATACAGGGTGTATGATGATATCAATTTTCTGACCTCACCATACCATTTATATGCACATGTTAAAATGGGCTAGTGTCCACGAGGCGCATACATTTTCGGTCGCAAATTCATAAGATTCGTTTACTAAATCTTAACACAAATATATTTTTTTAATTAAATCTACTAATCACAAAACAAAATGCATTTTTATCCTATTACATTCACAAAGTATTTTGTTTGTCAAAATAAATTAAAAAATTACAATCGCAAAATACATCCACAAAACTAGATAGAAATTCTAAGTAGGCAGATGTAATGAAAATAGGGTCTGCAAGTGGGCAGCCCTATCGCATGTTGTCATACGGTGACATACCGCGCGGTTGTTGACATTTATTTCAAAAATATGGCCGAGTTGGAATACTGTATAGATAGTATTACCGTGGTATGGTCGTTCCTGGTCGTTCTTTAAGATGTGTTTTATATCATAAAAATATGTCTTGTGTGATTGACGGCTGCGATTCACATTCGGGAAGAAAAGAAAACAGTGGTGAAAAAATTCACTTTCATTCGTAAGTTTTTGATCTTTTTTTTTATTAAATTATACTGGAAATACCGGTAAACTATGTATAAATGTTACTTATTTCTTGTCGTACTTTTTAATTGAAAGCCTAAACAGTTTTTGTCCACCTTTTGTTAAAAATCCTAAATAAATTTTCTAGGTTAGTTTTTCATCTAGTGATGTGGTCACATTAGATATCGATACTTTAGTTAGGCTTTGAAGTTCTTTATAGACGTCGTTACTTTTCTAAGGTTTGACCCACGATAGACGATAATGTAGAAAATATATTCTATATTATCTCTCTTTCTTTTTGTGTGGTACTAGTGTTAATTTTTATTTCATTGTATTTTTTAAGTATACATTGTTACTAGTTAATTTAAGAAAAGTAAAAATTGAACTTATTTTTTTTATATGTTTAATATTTACTTGCAATATGATAAATAAAAGTTTATAATATTACAGATTCCCAAAGGTTGAAAAGATCAAAGTAGAGTGGATAAGACGAGTCGGGAGACCTGACTGGAAGTGGAAGACCTACAGCAGGATCTGTTCCAAGCACTTCTCGCCCGACAATTATTTGCACAGTGAATATTCTACTAAAAGGCGGTTAAAATTTCAAGCTGTGCCTTCAATTAATTTGTCCGAAGCTGATTCAATTGTAATTATCTCATTAATACACTAAAATAAACATAATAACACAAAATAGAAACATTTCCAATATTTTCATAATTTTCAGAGTTCAGAACGAGGACTCATTCACAGTATTCCATCTGCTGTACAAGGACAAGGAATTAATACGGTAGTATGTACAATTTTTACAATTCTTTGCTACAATGAATTATTAAGTTTATACTATCAGGTGATCCGTCTGCTCGTTTGCCTCATGTCACATAAAAAAAAAGTAATAGCAACCTTATTCAATTTTGTTTAATAAAATGTTATTTTCAGACTTCTGAGCATGGACACGTTCAATGTTTTCCATCTGCTGTAACCCGAAGAGCTCTTCAAGCATTAGAAGGACAAGAAAATAGAGTACGTACACACGCCCACACTGTTAACTATCCATTTCCGTTTTTGCTCTCGCTCTAATCAAATGGCAATTCTTTGCGATAAAACGAGATGACATGACTTTCAATGGGCAGTTAATACTGTTGGCTATAGTACCTACAATTTATTTTATTACTCGATGCGTTGGCCGCGTTGTATCATTTATTGATTTGTTTATCGCGAGTCTCACCCATCAATTGTAATTATCTGATTTTAACACACTAAAATAAACAAAATATCACAAAAAAGAAACATTTCCAATGTTTAAATAATTTCCAGAGTTCAGAACGAGGACACAATGACATTCACAGTATTCCATCTGCTGTACAAGGACAAGGAAATATTACGGTAGTATGTACAATTATCTCAATTCTTTACTACTATTGATTATTAAGTTTATAAAAGTAATAGCAACATTATTCAATTTTATAAAAACAAATAAAATATTATTTTCAGACTTCTGAACATGGACACGTTCAATGTATTCCATCTGCTGTAACCCAAAGAGCTCTTCGTGAATTAGAAGGACAAGAAAAAAGAGTACGTATCTACAGTTCATTTTATTACTCGACGCTTTGACCGCGTTGTATTGATTAGTTTATCGCGAGCCACATGCTCATTTCTAAATCCTACTTCTTAAAAGTGTTTAAACTTAAATTATTTTTCTAAACGTTTTTACATCTTTTCTTTATTTATCCTAGGATTTCTTTATTTGTCACCCTCGGCGGCAACTTATTCTAATTACTTTTTTAACTTGTTTTAGAAACCACTAATGGAAATTAACACTGGGATAGTGTCAATAGTAAAACGAAAATGTTCGTCTTCAGATAAGAGATGAATCATCCGCTGAAAAAAAGATAAAACTATTAGAGAAACGAGTTCAAGATTTAAAAAATGTTTCGGATCGCCGTCTACGTAAAATAAACACGTTAACAAAACGAATTTGTCGACTTTAAAAAAAAAATGAAGATCTTTACACAATCGTAATAGACAAATTGAGACAGGACAATATCGAAACCGAGTATATTAATATGTTAGATAGCTTAAATAAGAATGATGTAATCAAAAGATTTCTTCAGAAACAATGCGACGAAGTTCTTACCAGACAGTATGGTATTGAAATTAAAAAATTCGCAGTCACATTACATTATTTATCACCAAAGGCATACTCGTTTGTCCGGGAACACTTTGAAAATGTATTGCCACACCCGTTTTAAACTGTAGTTCTGACTACAAAAAAGCTATTAACGACAGCACCAATTGTAGACGTCGTTTAGAACCTGAATCACATGATACTTTTGATCATTTGAAAGAACACGACTACATTTTGTACCCATCGTCTCTTACGGAATATTCTAAAAATGTCGTAGAATACATAGCGGGCTTTATCCGAAGGAAATTAAAAAAATCTTTACAATGCGAACAAAGTGATCCTATAAGAGTTCCGTTTTTTCCTTATGAGGTACGGAACCCTAAAAATGCATAGAAAGTCTTGAGAACACGGAGAGTATTCCTGAAAGATCTTTGATATCTATAAAAAATAGAGGAGGCCTATTTAAACCAACATCCGGCTTAACCAAGATCTGTCAACTTTCCGAAAAAATTTTAAGAGAATATCAAATGCATATTGGTTCAAAATCTCTCGGTCAACCAAAAACATTATTAGAGATGATTAATAAAGTTTCAGCAAATGTATTGTCGTCAGAAATTTTTCGTGAATTAAAAGATCATTCATTAGAACAATCTTTCTATGATGATCACAGAAATCTTCTTGTAAAGTCCATAGCACAAAAATATTTTAAACTTAGGATACATTATATAACTAAAAATTTGACTGTACCTACCGAAAAAATTCGCACACATTTAACAAAGACAATTATATTTAAAGGTCAATGATACGTAAACACATTATAGTGCATAACTGCCACGGTTTGTAATAGGTATATGCTTTGTTTATGAACAATTAAATTATCTTTTTAATATTGTGTTTTATTTCTGAACCCACGATCGAGAGCCTAATCACGGTAATACTATCTATACAGTATTCCAACTCGGCCATATTTTTTAAATAAATGTACCGTAACCGTATGACAACAACAAAATGCTTGATTATTAGGCCAGTAGAATTAAACACAAAAATTGATTAAATCGGAAATAATTCCTACAAAAGATTTTTTTGCTTTAATGGCTTCATTGGTTGCCCATTAAGACTCTCCTAAGTTTTCGACTTCGACGGAGTTGTGCTTAAGTGGTGGGGGCCCCCGAAAGCTGCGTTTTTTCGGTTTTCCGGTTATACCGCGTAAAGGACTTACCCTATCGAAAAGTGGTCTTCATGTCGGTTAAAGGGCACTTAATCCTGCATTGAATAAGACCAAATTAATATGTTTTGGACAAACCGTTCTCGCGCTAAAGTTCGGCAAAGTAGAAAATATACGTATAATTAATGACCCTCTCCACGTCCAATGGCTTGTTACCCACATGCGTCGAACCTTAGACTAGGCATACGGCTAGGCAACGTAGTCATGCAGGAGGATACAAGGAAGAGGGGCAGCCACAGTAGGTAACACAGAGTCGTTCAGGTGAGTGCCAGGAAGAGGTGCAGCAACTGCAGTTAAGGAACGGCTGGGACGAACAAGGATAGGCGCATCAAGCTCGTAAGCCTTGATAGGGTTACACTGGTTGAGGTGGCCCTTTTCAAGACTTGGAAGCCTGTGGGTAACAAACCATTGGACGTGGAGAGGGTCATTAATTATACATATATTTTCTACTTTGCCGAACTTAAGCGCGAGAACGGTTTGTCCAAAACATATAAATTTGGTCTTATTCAATGCAGGATTAAGTGCCCTTCAACCGTCATGAAGACCACTTTTTGATAGGGTAAGTCCTTTACGCGGTATAACCGGAAAACCGAAAAAATGCCTCTTTCGGGGGCCCCCACCACTTAAGCACAACTCCGTCGAAGTCGAAAACTTAGGAGAGTCTTAATGGGCAACCAATGAAGCCATTAAAACAATGAAATCTTTTGTAGGAATTATTTCCGATTTAAAAGCTAATTCTACTGGACTATATTATGCAGGATGTTATGTAAATGGGTATAAAATAAAAATAGGCGGACACTAGCCCATGTTAACATGAAGCATATTATTATACATGGTGTGGTGAAGTCAGAAAGTTGATATCAACATTTTAATAATTTAAATTTTCATACAAATCTGATTTTATAAATTTTATTTTGTGTGAAAATTAAAAAAAAAATGATCATATCACTGACTTCGCCATGCCACATGCATAATATGTTAACATGGGTTAGTATCGGCTTATGAACCCATTTACCTAACACCCTGTTTAAATAGGTACTTTTATTTTTATAGAAAAAGCACATAGGCGCGCGTGATTTTCATATAAAAAATCACGCGCGCGGACGCGTTGTCAGTGTGAAGTGCCGCGCGTGTTTTCTATACAAACTGAGGTACTTGCATACAATGATTAAATCTGTCGCCCCGCGCTCCGCGGCGGAGCGCGGCGCAGTGTGATAACCGCCTTACTGGTAAAAAAAATTTTATTACTGTGGCACATTCGCGACACCCCGACTTTTGCATGTCGAGCGCATACCGAGATTTGAATTTTGGAAGGAAAACTCGCTTTTCGTCCGTTTATATGAAGTTACAATACTGTATGATAGTATTGCCGTGGCCTAATGTACGCTACACCACAGCAGCAGTACTTTCAGGTACCATAATTTATCGATAAAATATATTAATTTATTCCCATCACTAGCAAATTCACAAGTAGTGACAACCTGCATGGTAACGAAACAAAACATTAGACATGTCTCTTTCTTATACACTGTCAATACCATAAGTAAAAAGAGATGAAGATATGGAGTTTAGTTGTTATTTTAGCCTGGCTTCCATGCTTTAGTTATTGTTCCGAGCATGCAGCGGTGGCATTGGCGGTCCGCAAAAGAAAAGAAAAGAAAAATGGAGAAAAGAGATTAATACCAAATGGAAAATCCGTGAAATCGACCGGTCGGTTATAATAAAGTTCACCAGTAACCATAAGGCGAAAGCAAGAAAAAAAGAAAAAATAAATTAAAATCTACTAACCAGGCAGACATATCTCTCACTGTCATTACGATGAAATCAAGGAAAGTACGAGTAAATACTTAAATTCTTTTTCCGAATACACTGGCCAGGTACAACGCTCACTGCGCTGGCCATTTCTAGTGGCATCGTTGGCCTACGAAAATAGATAAAAAAAAATCTTCCATAACTACTGGCTAGTACGAGTACCACGTTTTCTGCATTGGCCATGTAGCAAAAGCAAGAAAAAAGGAAAAAGCGAAAAAAGTTTATCTTCCGAATGGACTAGCCAGTTACAACGCTCACCACACTGGCCATATCAGTGGAGGCATCGGGCCCGCATGGCGGCGATACGACCGGAATTCGGTTTGCGGGATTGTAGTGACGGGAATGTTGCTTCTCGTTCGCCTGCATTCATTTTGCTGATGGAATTTTCGGATTTACGACTGGGTCTTTAGGTTTTGCGGTTTAGGCACTTTGGGATAGGATTTTTACTGTCTACATCGTTATTATGTTAAAAATAAACTCAGTTTTTAGTATCTATGACAGTTTAATTTTTTCTTTCTTATAGCCCAGGCGTCCCGTACGATTATTTTTATTCCTTGACTCCTTTTGATATCAAGTTCACCATTGCAATATATGGTAAGTTTGCCCAGAAGGTGCCTGTTCACTTTTAATGGGCCTTCTTAGGGTTGCATTATGTGACATTTTGGTTGGAAAGTATTAAAAAGTTACCTATAATAAAGTTGACTGAGTTTCTTCCGCCACTTTCTCAGCACCAGCTGATATGTTGTGAAAAACTAGGTATATTTGATGTTTAGGTAAGTGCCTTGAAAAGAGCCTACTTATGAAGAATTTGGATTTGAATTATACATTTAAAATTAAAAAAAATATTTAAACTTAGATGGTTCTCTCTATATAGTCCATCTATACGGGACCATTTCCACCTCTCGTTTCCACCGCTGCAACTCCTGTGTAGCCAGGATCTACAGATTGACCGCCAATAAAAACACAACCAGTGAAGGTCAAGTTTGTTCCGAGGAAAGTTAAACTGTCATCGGACCCGCAACGAAATTAATCAGAAGAACATAGGAGGAGGTCGAAGTTAAGGTTGGTAGTTATAGTCCATCTATACGTAAGGCTGACGACTGACTGACTATATCACTATAACTATGACATAATGGTCATAGATTGAAACTGAACTGTAACTCTGACATTGCAGTCATGTGGGAAACTAACACCAAAGCCGTACCAATATCGGAACTAATTCGGAAGCCCCAGGTGTTAGGAATTGAAAGCGTAATCAGCAATATGCTGGCCCACTGAACGACTACAGACAGCGTATATGTTGCGAATCTATATCAATGCAAATTGCGTTTCTAGTGGGGCGACTGTGAGTTCGGATTTTGAAAGGATTTTTGAAGGACTTCACTACTATACACTAATTTTGATTGGATTCACGTCGTGAAAAAAGAAAGAGTTTTCTTGCCTACATCTGAAACTGGAAGTTGAATCATAATGTCAGCTTTTGATAACATAACATAACTACATATTATTGACGCTTAGAACTATATTTTGTATCATATGAAAAGTTTTTTCACCTCTTTTTTAGCTCTGGGCTACATGAGTTCTTACTATTGGTCACTGCGATACAACTTAAAAATCGTAAGCTTATTTTTAAATCAGTCAAAAAGTATTGGAAAACGTAGAACCATCACTAGCAGCTGCAATGTATTAACCACCCCTAGAAAAATCTACTAGCATCAGACAGATAAATTAAGCCGAAGATAAATAATGCATTTTTGTCGCTCCTTAGTGGTGTCTAACATTAAACTGATATACATATTTTGATGAAATGACGATGATCAAATATCCTTAAAAACTGCAAATAATGGTCACCCTTTTCAAAGGCAGCTGTGTCGAACCGCATCTGTGGCGCGCGCCGCTATTACTGGCCGATACAGTTACGTGTACACGTTATACGTACGATACGTACACGTAATACGTACGAATTACGTACGTGCCGCACTCGAGCTACGAGCTGGATTGATTGAGCTATATCGTAAATCGGGTTTTGCGGGATATTGTTTAGTGTATAAAATATGGGTAACAACGGGGTTGAAAAAGGACAATGACCAAAAGTGGTCCAAATGTCCACCACTAATGAGACCTATATTGGCTTATAGTCTATTAAATAGAGATTAACTTTCAGTATGGGACGAAAAAAAAATAAGCTGTCAGTAAAGAAATATGACTGTTTGAAAAATTGTAGTAGTTTACGCGCTAATCTCAGGAACTACTGGTCCGATTTGAAAAAATATTTTTGTTCTAGATAGCCCATTTATCAAGGATGGTTTTAGGATAAATAACATCACCCTACAACCAATAGGGGCGGAGCAGTAAAGACAAATGATGTAAAAATGGGAAATATTATTCAAACTATTTTCACGCGTACAAAGTCGTAGGCACAGCTAGTATAATATTTAATAAAATTCGTCTATAGCGCCGCGCCATATGCGACATGACATAACATGCGTAGATTAGTCCAAAATGTGCAATGGATAGAATGATATCAAGAACATTTTTCGGATGAAAAGGTAAAAAACAGACTTTTCTTTCAGTCATAACTTTTTACTGACAACATATTTTTGATTGCTGTTTAGTTATAATGAATCAGTATTTAGTAGACTATTTTACTACATAGGTCTCGTTAGTGGTGGACATTTGGACCACACTCCATACATTTTTGGTCATTGTCCTTTGGGGTATTAAAGATTTGTGGTGATACTACTAATAACGTCAAATATTTTTCAGGTAGGCAGGTCTGATCTTTAATCTTTTAAAAACAATTTCATTTTTTTTTATCATCAACGAGGAAGCTCTTGGCCTGTATCTCAC